TGCATCAGAAACTCATAAGAAAAGAAAACTCCAAACAATGCAAAATTTTAAACTGTAAGAAGTAACATCAATAGCTTTAAAAGAGTTCACTTGCTCTGCCCCTCAACAAAGCATAATATTGTCCCAAAAACTGCAGTACTTTTCCATGTTGACCCTTCCTCTTAGTAATTTTATTTTTAAAGATGACTGAACCTTCCTATAAACTCTCCAGCATTGAAGTACACATTACTGTTTTGGAAGAAGGATTAATTACCTACAAAACTATATTGCATTCAGAATATTAAGATACTTCATGCAAGTTTTGGTGGTTCCTCAAGTCTCTCACATGGGCATGACCCATTGACATAAAAATTTACCCAAGTTTTCACCTATGAGATAAAAATATTCCCAGAACACATGGCAAGTATTCATGTTCATGTTACCATTTAAGCTAGATAAAAGCAAATGTCTGGCTGAGTCATTCTATATTCTTTCAGACACCACATCTTCCTACGAGCTCATGATTACAACTTTAAAACTGTAAATTCATCTCATAGTTCAGCGGTCAACTAAACTAGCATCAAACAATAATTTGAAGTTAAAGGTACAACGTTATAAAATACTGCAAATTTTGCAAGTCTGACACAAAACAGAAAGAAACTCTGATGGACTGTTAATCATACTTCAGAGAAGAAAACATAAAAAATAGAGAATACTAAGCTAGCATAAAGAAACCAGAAGACTTGACCACCGTCCCTGAAAACAAAGCACCAACCTTTAGCAAGGGCATATGTATATCACTCAATGTGTCATTGGGGGAAAGGAGAGCAGTCTCAAACTCTTCGGCCGAGAATTCGGCTGAGATATTCAAAAGAGGCCTAAATACCTGCAACGGCAAGGCAATGCAAATACGTAAGCTCCAAAACACTGCATACATAATCACACCATCCATCAACGCAATTCGATAGCAAAGATCACAGCTTTCCAGCTCACATGCAAGAAATTGAGTATTGAAGCTAACTCCCACATAGACCTCAGGTTCCATCGAGGCAACTGCGAAGGTGACGGAAGCTCCACAAGTGGAGTCACAATACTGCTACATTGCTGCTGTTGCTCCGGCGAGTCCTCCGGCAGCCGCTGCCCCTTCTTCGAACCTTTGAGTCGCCGGCCGGTGGCCGGCTGCGTCGATGAGTAGAGGCGAGAAGCAGCTCGAATGGTGCACGCGCGAGGCGGGCGGTTGCTCCTGGTAGTGGTGGGAGCGGCGGTGGTTTCCTCCTTAGAAGTGGGAACGACGTCGTGGGTGGAATTTGGTATATGGCCCCGAGAATTGGGTTCGGGCGAGGATCGATTAGAGGGTTCGTTAGAAACAAGAGGAGAAGAAGGAGATCCCTGGGACATGGTCATGTAGATCAAAACTCAAAAGGGTTTGGGTATAGTCATGGCGGGATTTTATGTAGTGAGGATCATAAGGTAGCCAGGAAGCATTGGAGAGAGAAATCAAAGTAAAAGGGATTTTGTTAGAAATAGAACTAAAAATAAAAAATAAAACAGAGAAAAGCCCTTTTTCCCACTGAAGAGAGAAGCAAACACAACGTATGGAAACTAGAAAGTAGAAAATAAATTAAAATTGTGATATTTGAAGAGCCAAAGGATCCAACTTGAAGCCCTCAGTCCCAATACAGAAATGAACCTATATAGACGTCCGGCTTATGTGACTGCAAATAGGAACAGAGACGAGGTGATACAGTGGAGAGGGGAGAGAGATGAAGAGCGTCGATTCAATTGCTGCGATTTTGATTTGATTTCGCTTTGCTTCTTTGGTTGGAACAGTTCGGGTGTTACTTCTGAGTTACAAAGTAAAGTTTGGTGAGGCAGCAAGACAAAAAATGGGAACACTGCTTCTTCATTTTTTTTTATAGCAAGAAGTATCCCGAGGTCGATTTTTATCATCTGGAAAAAAATGGGAACACTGCTTCTTCATTTTTTTTTCCTACGGCCATCACCCCATTCTTCAAAGTCTTGTTTTCTTAATCTAGATAAAAAACCTAAACTGTAATATAAGACATTTAGAACTTGGGTACTGGCATAAAATCCAAGGAGCAAACCGAGTAAATATATGTTAACACTAATCTTAGTTTATCTAAATGAATTTGTTATTTTCTTATCTCGTTTTCATTGTAAGAGGTAAATTTTCTGAAGTTGATGAACAAAACAGATGAGAGCTTCATGACTTGAAATATTTACTTCAAAGCTAGATTGAGGGTGTGTTTGGATGAAACCAAACCGTGGTTTGGAAAAGTGATTCTGGAGAATAGATTTTGGGGAGAATAGATTCTGTGAAGAATAGATTTTGTAAAAAAGTGATTCTGAGAAGTGAGAGTGTTTGGATAGTTGTTATCAGAAGCACTTTTTATATATACAAATTACTAAAAAAAAGCCATAAGTTAATATGATAATTACAAAAAAAATAGATTTTATGATATATTTTAATTTGAAGGAATAAAATTGTTAATAATATATTTTTTACCAACATAATTAATAATACATAAGATAATATAATTAATAAATAATTAATATGTATATATATTTATAAAATATAAGATTGAATATGTTTATAAAAAAATATATTTATAAAAAAAATAACAAGATACATATCATATAGGCTCTCACACTCTCCTTTTTTTCTCCAAAAGCAAAAAAATTTTGTTTTTTCCAAAACCATGGTTTTGGTTTTTAGGGGGGGTGTTTGGGTGATCTATTCCCCAAACTATGGTTTAGGTCCTCAAACCATGGTTTGGGGTGTCACCCAAACACACCCTGATTAGGGCTGCACATGAGTAGGGTTGGACAGGACAGGACCTTTGCCTGATGCCTAGCCCGAAGAATGAACGGGCTGAAAAATACAACCCGCTATCCTGCCCTACCCATGAAAAGCCCTGTTATGTTTGGGTTGGACAAATGCGGGTTGGACAGGGTGGGCTTCCATGCCCAACAAATCAATTACTATATTAATTAACTAATTATTTATCTTCCTCTAAATAATTTAATGTAACTTTATATTAAAATGGCAACTTGGCCTTAATTTTGTTATTACTAATTAATATACTATGAAACTATTTTTTGTAGTAGTTAGGAGGAGTGGACTATGGCAAAAAATTGTTGTTGGTATATTTTATTAAACTTAATTATTTTTCTAGTTTCTAACTCTCAAAACCATTCAAAAATAAATAAGTATAATGAACAATACAACAGTGCATTTGATTCAGGAAATAAATACGAGGCAAATAAAATATATACAAATAAAATTATATATTTTTGCGGGCAGGGCTAAATGGGCAGGGCAGCATAACATACCCGATGCCCAACCCTGCCCAACAATTTGCCCAGCCCGAACATGCCCAATAGTTCTTTCTGGCCATTTTTTTTAGGACGGGCTGAGCATTTTTTTGCGGGCTTGGGCGGGCATAACGGGCAACTGGGCTTCATGAACACCCATAAAATTGATGATACAAGATGGAAGCCAAAGTCTTTAGTTTAGAATTTTTTTACCAAAAAGCAATGAAAAAATGTTAATAACTAAGATTGGGTTTAGTAGAATTAAGTACTCTCTTATAATATAACGAATTAAAATTTGAAGATGTGCTTCCTTTTAGCATATCAAATATACCTTTAATAAAAGAATATATATGCCTCCGTAAAAATGTTGTTATAACTTGAAACCAAAGTTACTGCCTTTTTTTGGGGGCTAAAACATGGCTTTGTCAAGATCCAACAAATTATCAAAGACACCCTAAATTGCTATTTTACAAATAAGTTGTGCGGTCCACCATCATTGTCCTAGGTGAATATGAAGCAAAAGGGTTAGAGCCATGATCTATTCCAGCAACCCATGACCCTGATCCTCTTTGGAAGAATGAAGAGTTTGGTAGGCATGAGCAACTGTTTGAAAATTCACACATTAATGCATAATATCATGAGGGAGTGCCTTTCTTGTTGCTTTTTTTTTTTTGGGGGTCAAAGAGGAAGTAGCTCCTAAAAGTCCTATTACTAATAAATGGACCCGAATGAGTAAAAATTCCTCACCCTAGCCCAAACGTAAATGCAAACACATGTTGCAGAACGACATGTTATATTGTTACCCCCCTCATGATGGCTTTCTTGGGAGTATAAAAGGGTGCCACAGAGGCCAACGCCCGATTCTTTTGTACGGGCCCCTGGCAGCAAGAAGGAAGCGAGTGAAGCGACCGACACCAATGGACGTGTTTGCAGTTGCAGAGATGGAGGAGCAAGGATCGGTCATGGCAATGGACGTCGACGATGTTGACCCTCTCGATATTTTCGGCGACGGACTTCTATGCGCCGACAACAAGCTCGCCGACGCCGACTTTTTCAACTCCTTCGAGGACGATTTCGATGATTCTGATATCAACTGATCCCCACTTCTCCCCCTTCCATCTTACTTGTAATCTAGCTTGATTTTGAATTTGTTAGGGTAGCGTTATTTTGCTCTAAATTGTTCAAAGGGAAAACGTCTTGTGTTTCTAGGATGTCTATTGTTTGAATGTGGATTGCTCATATTGATGTGAAGGTTGTCATCGTCGCTGCACATCCATTTGGAATACATTCAATGAATGATATGATTCGTAGTATTTAATGACAGATCTTCTACTGTTTCAATTAGTGGCTGAATCTTTCCATTAACACCCTCTCTGTCCCTTCATCTTCCAAGTATAATCACTGAAGTTCCAATATTGCGAGCCAGGTTGATTTTGATTTCTCAGTGGCAGCCAGTTGATAGCACAATCTGTTTCTAACTATAATTCTTTCTCCAACAGAAACATTCCAAGCCTTTATGGTCCCTGAAGCTAACTGAAATGGGTAACGCTATTTTGAAATTGAATTTTACCAGAATTAAATGAAATCGATAATCTACTGAATGGCTCACATAACAAGGAGCTCCCTGACATGGGGCTTATTTCAACTCAGCCATGCAGCAAGATCACAGAAGAACACAGTGAAGAAAGTAGAAAGGACAGTGGTAGAACGAGAACCTCAATAGTCCATACTCAAAAACTTCTACTGATGAATCATACAGAACGAGAGAAAAACTTAGAAAGGATAAAGAGGTACTGTAGCGTCACATTCATCCTCCCCTGGTCTTTACATAATGTTCAGGAGATGATAACATATAAGATACAACAGGAAATATGAAAGCTGCAGAAACAGATTGTCAGAAAGGATACTCCCACGGCTAGCATGTGATGGAGAAGGGGCTGGGCTAGAACCTGCTGGGGTAGCAGTTTCCTTTGAGCAAGTGTAACCGCATCGACTTGGACGAACAACACGGTAAACACCAGTGCTTGTAAGCACATAAACATCTTTATTGTTGTCTTCCCCAAATGAGAAGATGTAACCTATAGATGACTGGGAGCTTCCGGGTACAGAGTCGCATGGGATAGGAGAATCACGTGCACAACTGAAAGGGATTTTGTTGGTAGTGAAGTTTCCACTATTTTCCGGATCCTCAATGCTTGCCCACATAGAAACCGCATACAGATCTCCATACAAGTACCTGACAACCACGCAGTGATTGATGAGCAAAAGTTGGTAAAATTTCAAAGAGAGCTGCTTTCTACCTCGAAGGCCATAGAAGAATATGCTTGTTTACCTTCCATACGTGCAAGGATCAGTCATAGACCTATAGAAATAGCCCCCAGTAACGGAGGCTGATCCTTCATTCTTGTTTACTTCGGAATGGTTGTAACCTGCTATTGGGAATACTGGATTTATGGAGTCCAAAGAAGTGTTGCCTCCAGGTGAATCTTTAGGGGTGAATTTGTAGGGGCCCTCATAAACACGCCACCCATAGTTCCCGCCTTTTGTAATGAGATCCACCTCCTCGTAAAGATCCTGTAAATCAGCATTAATAACCTCAACTTTGCTGGATTTTACAGAAATGTAATTCTGATACAGGAAGAGGGCCACTGAGGATTCTTCTTGTTGAGTGATACACTAGACATAATACGTATGAGTCAAAACTGGAATGTAACTTGAATTTGTACACAAGTTTCTCTAGTGGGGAAAGCGGCAATCATGTCACTTCAGAGGACCTAGGTTCCTTATTTAGTTGTTTATAACGGTGCTGTAGTTATTAACTTCATCAGATTATTCATAAGCTTTTACAAACCTGGCCAACATCTGCACACACAAAGTAGGAAGGTCTTTCTGAATCAAAGCTACAGCGCCAAGGATTTCTTAATCCCAGTGCCCATATTTCAGGCTGGAGATCTGCATCTTCAGTAAATGGATTATCCTTAGGAATAGAGTAGTTACCCCAAAGATTAAGTTTGGTAATTTCTTCTGCACCTGAAAGATCCAAGAGAGATGTCACACCCAAGTGTGGGATAGAATGATATCTATCTAAAATTTGCTTGTTAACTGGTATCAGTAATTGTACTTGTCATGGAAAGTGAACAATGGGAACCTGATCCAATGAAGTGGCTAACATAAATCCATTCAACAATAGAAAATTTTTAAAAGAAGTCTTCAATATCTTAAAGGGGGTTGTTAATGGGATGTTAGTATGGTTTTCAAGGCGCCTGTCATCTTTCGTAAAAGTGATTGGGCAGAAACCAATTGAAATTTGGGATATAGTAGTATCACTATACGGTGAAAAATTAGAATGTGGAACCTGATCCAATTGAAGGTTGAAAACTTAGCATCATTTGGTTGAACAAGGTATTGTATCAAATACACAGCTAATAATGAGTTATACTCACTTGGAATGTTGTCAATATCAAGTCTCATGATCTTTCCAAGCAACGATTTCTTGTTCTGGGCAAAATTATATGGATCACCACTGCCGCCTCCATATCCCATCATGAAGTATAAATACCCATCATCAGGTCCAAAGAGTATCTGACCCCCATGTTGAGACGTAAATGGGAGACCCACGGTGAATATCCTTCTCACCTCTATGGGTTTCGCACTTTCGGCCTGGAAAAACAAAAATTCAGTTCTACTCATTGTATTGAACTAAATGCATAGAAACTATGGGTGCAGAGAGGTGTACCATGGAAGGTTGGTTTGCAGTACCATTAACAGTATATTCTGCTATAACAGATTGATACTGGCATGGTTGGGCACCATTTTCAGTGCCTAGCTTTGATGGATCACAATTAACATCCGAGTTACATGCACATCTTCCTGCACATTGTGGTGACTTAGACTTATCACAGTTATATGACGCAAAAAAACGACCATTTTTTGCAAAGTCTGGATGAAATGCCATGCCCATCATTCCAAATGCAGAATCAAAATAGACCCGATCAGTCAGATCAACAAAGGGGCTAGATTCATCAAACTCCATTGTCCCTCCGGATCCCTCAGCTGGAAGTGTTGCCAACCACACCTTACCCATTTGGTTAGAGAAGAAAGCGCGATTAGAACCATCAGGATGAGCAACCATGTTGAGATACGATCCATTGCCGATTTTCTCAAGACACAAGCCATCTGGAGGGCTATTAGGAGTCTTAGTTTTATTTAGTTCAACAGGTTCACCATCAAAACATACTGATTCATCACTTGAAGCTCCGCCAAATGCCTTGCAGAAATCAGTTTTGGACTGCCAAAGTTCAGTGAGCTTGGCAGCTTCAGTATTTACCGTAGCTCCTCCTGTCTGACCTCGTAATGTAGGAGAAAACGGAGAATTTTTATGGACACATTCTGGCATGTATCCCAAACTAGGGAGCAGAAGTCCTCTACTGCCGCCTTTGACTGAGTAGTATTTGTTGAAATGGTAGAATTGCAAAGGACAGGAACTGATCGACCAGAGGATTGAACCGTAAATAGCTCAGCCGAAAATGGGTCACACCTCTACAAGCAAACAGAGCATAGGAATGCAGGGAAGAAGTTATTGGCATGAAGTCTGAAACAGCAGCTCGTGATAAAGATTAAAGAATCAACTGGTCAACTTGTTCAATTATTCATAGTTCAGGATAGGTTGGCCACTTTATGGTTGATATGACAAGGAAGTTCCTCTATCCTACTCAATACACTATTTGGTATGCCTGGTTAAAAAACTAGAGCCATGGGTTTCCGCATATGAAAAGTTGATTCTAACGGAAGTTATTGAGCTGTTTCTATTGTCCCACGAATGAGAAAGATCTCTAGAATCAGATATCAATATTATCCTACCAGACATACATTACCTCAAGTGAAAATTAAACTTGGTCACTCGTAACAATCACTCAACCTGTGACTGGTCCTTAATATCTGTTTATGTTTCATTCCATGATTCCATCAATACACTGGAAGCAACTTTTCTCCCTATTTGGGAATTAAAGATCTTACCGCACAAATTATTGATTTCAAAACGGAAGCACAGCCAGAGTCAGATATATTCATCACTTGGAATTGCTTTGCCATTTGTGCATCTTCTGTGGAGTTGCAGCACGTGCTTCCATTATACGGACAAAAGCTCAGTGTCGTGTTGAGGGTAAAGGGCGCTCCTACACCACATGAATCAGATTGAATAACAACACAATTATAGGAGAACAGAGCAAGCCATCATTTAAGGCACTGAAATCCATAAAGAAATAAAAAGCGGGAAAATAAGAGAAAGACTCACTGGAATCAATACATAGAGGAAGTGAAACCGAACAATCCAAAAGCAGAAGCAAGCAAAAGATCGAGAAGCTGAAATACAGAACAACCTTCATAGCTTCAAACCAGTTGGCAAGTTTACCACTACCAGAACAACTTCAAGATCATCTCGTCCTCAAATATATCCCAGAGCACGGTCAAAAAGCTACGCTAATGGATCTGACTTGCTGAACAGAAAGAAAACAACAAAGACAATCTAAAAGGTCCTTCTGGGTGGTTTACATTGTGTCAATTGCCGACTACTCTTAACAACAGAGCATCTTCTTCAATACTCCCTTCAACATGCCCACCTCCATCTCAATTTTTTAGTACCAAATCACTTTCAACCTTGCTATCAAATCCATGCTAAGTCAGCTCCCACGGTTGCTTTTAATTAATAAAAAAGCTGCCTCAGAATTCAACCAGCATGATACAAGTTGGTATAAACTCCTATCCTTCAAAGCTCCTTTAGGGTTGTCGTAAGCCTCAACGTCACAGGTTGAGATGAATTGAATAATGAATAGAGACACCAAGTGGGATGCCTCTGAAGTTGACTTTCCCTGTCAAAGTGCGTAATTAAGAAATGGGATGGTGGTTGAGAAACCCCAAGTGGGGTAGATCTTGGTTGTTTTGCAGCGTTCAGAACAACCATTGGTTTCCTTGTGAGTTGAGACCGGGTTGAAAATTGAGAAGCAACTGGACTCTGGGCAATCAAATATCAAATTCATATTTTACTTATTTAGTAGGTAAAGGGATCAACTTGGGATCACCACCAGACAGAAAGTTAAGACTTTTGTGAGGGTATAGAAGGGAGTGGAGGAGTGAGGAAGCCATTTGAACCTAAAAACGGGGAGACAAACAAAGATAAGAAGAGGGATTTGCAAGAAAAATTAAAATACATCAAAATTATTGGTCATGACATCACATGATCATTATTGATGGCACAACGTTTCGAGTCTCCAGACAACCCAGAATAGAAAATGTCTGGTCAGAGCGCATAATTTGGTAGTAAACCCACGTTTTCACAATCAATTTTTTATTCGGTAGCGCCGAAGTGGAACATTGTGTTGAACGCAAACAAACGGATAAAATGAGTTTTCATATTCCGGTGAACAAACTTTTTGAGTCTCATTTACATTGTACTGCGTCCCTAAAGAAACAAGTTTCACAGTACGCGTCAACGGTAAGGTAATTTAATGTCATGAAAACTCCACAATAAGTATAAAGTCGTTGATTGAAAAAATCTTACCTGGATCTTTCTTTTATTTGAGTTTGAATATTTGAAAGCTGTTCATTTAAATTATTCGATTCTATCGGCTTTTTTACCAAAATACAATAAACAGTAAAACTTTTTACCGAAATGCTACACTTTTAAAACTATTTACCAATATGCTACACTTAAAATCGTTCTTGGCAAAAACGACTTTGAAATTACACACAAGTTATTTTTGGCGTGAACGATTTCACTTTTAAACTTTTTCTTAAATCAAAAAGTGAAATCGTTCTTGGCCTGAAATCGTTCACGCCAAGAACGATTTCACTCTTGCATGCAAAAATAAGAATCATTGACGATGCTCCGGTAAGGCTATAACATATATAGTAAATTTTACTTCATCTGACTTATATTGGATTAAAATTTAAAAACCCCAGTTTTTTTTAATTTTTTTTCAAATAGAGCTTGATGAAATTTTCTATCATTTCCTCTTCTTTTTATTTATCTCATACCAAACAGTACGTAACAAAAAAAGTTATGTTTTGATTGTAAATTTTTAATTGTAGCAATTAAGTTGTAAGACTAAATTATTATTACAGGCATAAGAGGCTCATGCCCAATACTTGATTTCTTGTCAAACCGAACAAATACCACACGACAGGCTTTTTTACCAAAATACTACAAATTGTAAAATTATACATCAATATGCTGCACTTTTAAAAGTATTTACTAATATATTACACTTAAAATCGGTCTTCAGGTGAATAATTTTTAAAGTCATTTATCTGGTGAACGACTTCTTCATAATCTGTCCTTGATGTGCATGAGGTGAATTAAAATCGTTCTTCTGGTGAACAACTTCAAAACTTCATCTGTTGTTGAATGACTTCTCCCCTTCTCTCCTGATTAAAATGATTAGTATAATGATTTATCAATCATTTGAATGACAAAATCATGACTATATAATGAGAGAAAAATGTTATAATGATGTTAAAACTAATTGTGAAATAAGTATAAGATTAAAATAAAAAGTAATAAATAAAGTTTAAGTTTATAAAGAAAAAATTATCCACCTTACTGATAGTGACTTCCAGTACCACATCTTGGCCTTTTTCTCATACATTGTGGGCGTTGTTGTTGTATGTCAATTTCTTGAGCTTCAAATGTCTCATTTGTTTGTGTAGTTGGCGTGTTCAAATCAAACCAAGGTGATTCATTTAAATGTATAGATTGTCGAGGAGTGACAAATGCTTCATTTGATGGTCCACCATGTTCAAAAATAGAAGCATTGTATTCAGCTGAAAATAATGCAGGATTATCTAATAAGTCATGAATGGTTGAAATTGAGAAGGATTGGCTGAGTTGGAAGGGGATGATGATGAGGGTGCCATGTAATGAGACTCAAGTTGTGTAGGATCGATAGAGATGAAGGGGGATGATGGTGACGGTGATATGTCAGAAGCCTGAGTAAAAATTGGAGGTTCTTGTTCCCTTACATTTTCGTTTTCAATTATAGGTTGGGTAGACAAGTAACCACCTCGTCACTTGCTTGGTCTATCACGAGGAATTTGTGGCCGATGCAACTCAATTGTTAGTGGAGCAGGCTGAGGGTTTACATTAAAACGTTGTTCTCTAAGTGCAAGTAAAATGTTACGCTGGTCGTGAGCAACCCTATCTCGATAATCAATACAACTAAGGCATATTGAACGAGAATTAATTGGTAGCAATTTAGAAGCAGGGAGTGAACAGGAAAAAGTGAAATTGTTCTTGGCATGAACGATTTCAAAAATTGTTCATGCCAAGAACAATTTCACTTTTTCATTTAAAAATAAAAAAATAAAAAGTGAAATCGTTCACGCCAAAAACGACTTGTATGTAATTTGAAAATCGTTCTTCTCAAGAACGATTTTAAGTGTAGTATATTGATAAATAGTTTTAAAAGTGCAGTATTTTGGTAAAAACTTTTACTGTTTATCATATTTCGGTAAAAAAGCCCTTTCTATCAGATTGGCCATGAGGCTTTCGTCAACCAAATATTTATTAAAAGAAAATTATGAGCAATAATTTGTATTTTTATTATCAAGTTTTCAATTTAAATATAATGAGAGGAAGGGAGGGGGAAAACAGACAAGCCTAGGATATTAAATTTATTTCCAGAGACACGCATCAGTGTATTTGAAGAGAACCTGGCATAAAAAAAGAATCTATGAATGAAAAGTGTTCTCATCTTTTATACTTATGATTTACTTGAGTGAAGTTAGAACATAGACCTTTGAAACAATTATATCGAAAAATTCGCACGTCTCATCTAAAAATTAAATCGTACTACTCTTTTTTTTTTAGTAAAAAGGAATTCATTAATCAAGGAAATATGTACAGTGCGAAAAGAGAGCAACGGAAAGAAAGAAAACAACCCCGGGCACCGGGCTGGCTACATCAGGTCAAAAGATCACAAAAGTTCTTGGCCTTCATAATGTGATTGGCAAAGAAATCGTACTATTCACTGACTCAAACAATGTATGTTATTAAAATATTTATATCACATATATAGATTTGAAGCAAGCCTCCTGATACAGAGAAAATGAGATGAAAAGTGAGTAGAAAATTGAGACCCTTGCATATAACCAAGAAAAAATTGGAGCAGAAAAAGACCATCTGTTTGTGTAGTTATGCGCAACAAAATGAAAATTGACACTAAGACCCAACAATAAGGATGTGCGACAGATTAGAAAGCTTCTTCAAGCAGACTTGAGCCGTCTTAAGCTCTTTAGCTTAGCTTCTTTTGTCAAGTTTGTAACTTGCCTAACTTATTTTTATTTTTATTTTAAAAAAAAAGGTTCCTGAAACTCAAAAGGTATAACCGAAACAGGAAACTCCAGCAATGGGTGGACGTGAAAAAACAGAATGAAACATTCTCATACATGAACACAAGGAGTCCAGAATTGGCTGATTCTTTCACATCTATGATTAAGTGTGAAAGGCCTAACAAACATTAATAGAAACAAGTTCCTGCAAATTCTGCATTGATAAACTCAACTGTTCTTGCAGAGAATTGCTTCAAGATTTGGAACACATGCATGAGAATTAAACATTCAGCCCTTAGGTCATGCAAGGTATATATGCAAGGACAAATGTATCAGGTGAAGAACAAGGGAACCATTAGAAATTTTAAAATATCAACAGCCTTTACGCCCGTGATCTCAGAACATGAATTAGGCTTTCTCCTCGGGACGGCGTCAACCTAAGGGTAGCACTTGTATGCCTACAAATAAATTTGAGTGGGAAAAAAAATGTACTCTGCATTGAGACCTTTCAGTTTCAACAATATTGAAAAGAGGGAGAAACCTCCCAATTAAAATTACAAGTTAATTATGCCTTGCATCAAGCATTCAGTTTCGTCTTTATGCATAAATTCAAATACAATGTAACTATCGTTAGTAAAAGTGTACTGTGCTCCAAAACCTGTATCAATTTCATAAATAAAACCCACTCAATTATTCTACGAATGTCGTCTTTTACTCCTCCTTTTCTTGCTTATCAGTTTTAAACATTGAACCCTTCAGTACGCAGGCACAAACGGTGTGCCTCAATCCATTTTGCACAAGCTGATTCACCATGCTCTACTATGCATTCATCTCGCAGTCTTTTAGTGTCTGGGCAAGCACAACAGATTTTCTTCTTTGGTTTTGACTCTGCACCAGTTGCGATGGTTGCTGAGCCTTGGCTTTGCTGTGACCCTTGCAAACCCAAGGCGGGGGAAGCATTTTGCAGTTCCATACTTGAACCCTAGTGAACTACAAACCAAAGAGTGGGGAAAATAGAACTACATAAGTCAGATAAACAGGGAAAACAGAGAAGTAAATAAAAACTAAAGAAGTTTATATTGAAACAAGATTTACGCTATGTACTCGTCTAACACAGGCTAGGAAGCATGGACACGGGACTTGACACTGAAACTGGCATGACGACACTGAAAGTGATTTAAAGAATAATTTCAAGTGTCAAGTTATGTCTAGGACAATGTCCTACAAGTGTCGAACATGCTCTTTCAAAAGTTATGCTTCCATAGAACAAAGGCGGTGATTCGTATTTTCTTTCCTCGGGTGACATAGTATAATTGGCACAAGTGACATAATATTTGTAGCAGTTATAACCACATTAATTGCCAGAGAGACGGTAATATGGTTTTACTTAATCTAATGTAAAATTGAAGTTCCTGTCGTTCTCAAATCTCAAAAGAACCGAGTATTGCCAAATAGATGGGGTAAATCTTTAGTTTTTCCCTCCTCATGGAAGGAGGCTACTGTGCAACAGGTCGAGAGAGTAGTTTCACCCGTAATTCCACGCCAGAGACATGCCTCCAGCAGAAAGAAAGAGATACAATGACTGAAATATCAATACTATACCACTATGGCTACTGATCGCAGGGTGAGGGAAGGGGGAGAGAGAGACGAAACGAACAGGGATTATGCATAAACACAAATCATTAAACCAGAAATATGAGTCCGCATTCCAATAAACTAACACAAAATTAACTCACTAAACGAAAACAATCCCAAGGCTTCAATTTGCAT